CAAGTAGGCTTCATCCCAGGGATGCAGGGGTGGTTCAACATACGAAAATCAATAAACGTAATAAACCACATTAACAGAAGCAAAGACAAAAACCACTTGATCATCTCAATAGATGCAGAAAAAGCCTTTGATAAGATCCAACATCATTTCATGATAAAAGCTCTAAGAAAACTAGGAATAGAAGGAAAGTTCCTCAACATTATAAAAGCTATATATGACAAACCTACAGCCAGCATTATACTTAATGGAGAAAAACAAAACCATTCCCTCTAAAATCAGGAACCAGACAAGGATGCCCACTATCTCCACTCCTATTCAACATAGTACTGGAATTCCTAGCCAGAGCAATTAGGCAAGAAGAAGGAATAAAAGGAATACAAATAGGTAAAGAAACTGTCAAAATATCCCTATTTGCAGATGACATGATCCTATACCTTAAAGACCCAAAAAACTCTACTCAGAAGCTTCTAGACATCATCAATAGCTATAGCAAGGTAGCAGGATATAAAATCAACATAGAAAAATCATTAGCATTTCTATACACTAACAATGAGCAAACGGAAAAAGAATGTATGAAAACAATTCCATTTACAATAGCCTCAAAAAAATCAAATACCTAGGTGTAAACCTAACAAAAGATGTGAAAGACCTCTACAAGGAAAACTATACACTTCTGAAGAAAGAGATTGAGGAAGACTATAGAAAGTGGAGAGATCTCCCATGCTCATGGATTGGTAGAATCAACATAGTAAAAATGTCGATACTCCCAAAAGTAATCTACATGTTTAATGCAATTCCCATCAAAATTCCAATGACATTCATTAAAGAGATTGAAAAATCTACTGTTAAATTTATATGGAAACACAAGAGGCCACGAATAGCCAAGGCAATACTCAGTCAAAAGAACAATACCTGACTTCAAACTATATTACAAAGCAATAACAATAAAAACAGCATGGTACTGGCACAAAAACAGACATGAAGACCAGTGGAACAGAATAGAGGACCCAGATATGAAGCCACACAACTATAACCAACTTATCTTTGACAAAGGAGCTAAAAATATACGATGGAGAAATAGCAGCCTCTTCAACAAAAACTGCTGGGAAAACTGGTTAGCAGTCTGCAAAAAACTGAAACTAGATCCATGTATATCACCCTATACCAAGATTAACTCAAAATGGATCAAGGATCTTAATATCAGACCCCAAACTCTTAAGTTGATACAGGAAAGAGTAGGAAATACTCTGGAGTTAGTAGGTATAGGTAAGAACTTTCTCAATGAAACCCCAGCAGCACAGCAACTAAGAGATAGCATAGATAAATGGGACCTCATAAAACTAAAAAGCTTCTGTTCATCAAAAGAAATGGTCTCTAAACTGAAGAGAACACCCACAGAGTGGGAGAAAATATTTGCCAGCTACACATCAGACAAAGGACTGATAACCAGAATATATAGGGAACTTAAAAAACTAAATTCTCCCAAAACTAATGAACCAATAAAGAAATGGGCAAGTGAACTAAACAGAACTTTCTCAAAAGAAGAAATTCAAATGGCCAAAAACACATGAAAAAATGCTCACCATCTCTAGCAATAAAGGAAATGCAAATTAAAACCACCTAAGATTCCACCTCACCCCTGTTAGAATAGCCATCATCAGCAACACCACCAACAACAGGTGTTGGCGAGGATGCGGGGAAAAAGGAACCCTCTTACACTGTTGGTGGGAATGTAGACTAGTACAACCACTCTGGAAAAAAATTTGGAGGCTACTTAAAAAGCTGACATTGATCTACCATTTGATCCAGCAATACCACTCTTGGGGATATACCCAAAAGACTGTTACTCCAGAGGCACCTGCACATCCATGTTTATTGCGGCACTATTCACAATAGCCAAGTTATGGAAACAGCCAAGATGCCCCACCACTGACGAATGGATTAAGAAAATGTGGTATCTATACACAATGGAATTTTATGCAGCCATGAAGAAGAACGAAATGTTATCATTCGCTGGTAAATGGATGGAATTGGAGAACATCATTCTGAGTGAGGTTAGCCTGGCCCAAAAGACCAAAAATCGTATGTTCTCCCTCATATGTGGACATTAGATCAAGGGCAAACACAACAAGGGGATTGGACTATGAGCACATGATAAAAGCGAGAGCACACAAGGGAGGGGTGAGGATAGGTAAGACACCTAAAAAATAGCTAGCATTTGTTGCCCTTAACGCAGAGAAACTAAAGCAGATACCTTAAAGCAACTGAGGCCAATAGGAAAAGGGGACAGGAACTAGAGAAAAGGTTAGATCAAAAAGAATTAACCTAGAAGGTAACACCCACGCACAGGAAATCAATGTGAGTCAATGCCCTGTATAGCTATCCTTATCTCAACCAGCAAAACCCCTTGTTCCTTCCTATTATTGCTTATACTCTCTCTACAACAAAATTAGAAATAAGGGCAAAATAGTTTCTGCTGGGTATTGGGGGGGGGAGAGGGAGGGGGCGGAGTGGGTGGTAAGGGAGGGGGTGGGGGCAGGGGGTTGAAATGAACCAAGCCTTGTATGCACATATGAATAATAAAAGAAAAAGGAAAAAAAAAAAGGCATGCTTAAAGACATGTCATGTCCTCCTAAAAGCCTTCAGCACTCTCAACCCACCCTGTACCAGTGACCACTGTGTTTGTTTGTTGTTCAACTGGTCCTTCTATTTCTTCTCTGTAAAGGTAGCAGGCATATGGATCTTTTCTGCATTTTCCTTTGTTCTTACACAAACCAGTAAATACTAGATGCTCACTTACATTTTTGCTGTTTGTTGCCATTTACAATATCTCCCTAATAGTTCACAGATACCTGATTTTTTTCCTTATTCTTTTATAGCTACATAGTACCCCATGATGTTAACTAATCTCCATGACTGGACATTAAATAGTTTCTGATATTTTACAATGATAAATAATGTAGCACTGAATAATCTTGCTTGTGTGAATTTTCATACTGGAGCTGTTATTATCAAGGTAAATTAATTCGAGGGGGGGGGGAGAGGGAGGGAGTGGGGTTGGTGATAAGGGAGGGGGTGGGGCCAGGGGGGAGAAATGACCCAAGCATTATATGCACATATGAATAATAAAAAAATAAAAAAATAAAAAGGTAAATTACTAGAAGTGATTTTGGGGTCAAGTTCCTCCCCACGGTATTATTTTACAGTCCCAACTGCAATACAAGGGAGTGCCTGTTTTACCGTAGCTTTTCTGAGTGAGTACACTGTCCAACTTTTAAGTTGTTGCCTATCTGACAATTGGGAAATGGTATCTCAGTGCAATTTAATGGGTATTCCTTGTGTTTTAAGTCTTGACGAATTCTAGTTGTCCTTGAAAGAAGCTTATCTTTCCTAGGAAAGAATGGGTTTAAGTACATTTGTAAGAAAATGCCTTGTGAACCAGGATTTTCTATACTAGTACCCACCAAAACAAAGACCCCAAATCAACTGGATATTCAAATTGACATTGATATTCAAATTGAGGTTAAAGACTACCTCACAATTTAATGCTCTTAAGCTAAGCAATAATAGCTATCATACTGACGTCCTAAAAAATAAAATTTGACAGCCAGGCACAGGTGCTCACACCTGTAATCCAGCTACTTGGGAGGCAGAGATTGGGAGGACTGAGGTTCAAGGGAAGCCTGTAGTGAAAAGTTAGTGAGGTTCTAGCTCAGTCAATAAGCAGGGTGTGGTGGCCTGAGTCTGTGATCCCAGGCAATTGGAAAACTGTAGATAGGAGGATAGTGGTCTGAGACCTGACCTGGACAAAAATATCAGATCTTACCTGAAAACTAACCAAAGCAAAAAGGGCTTGGGGTATGGCTCAAGTGGTAAAGTGCCTGTCTAGCAAGCATGAGACCCTGAGTTTAAATTCCAGTGCCACCAAAAGTAAATAAATAAATAGCAATAAAGAAAACACAACTCTTTTTTTTTTTGGCAGTACTGGGGTTAGAACTCAGGGTTTCACGCTTGCTAGGCAGGTATTCTACCCCTTGAGCCACTCCACCAGCAAAATATAACTCTAACTTGCTTAAGATTTAAATATACTATCTCATTACTTAATGCACTGATAAAGAAGACATGTATTGCTGTATTTATTCTAGTGTGATAACTACATTTCAACATAACTGGTTTCCTCTGTAATCCTATGTACTATGCTTCACACATTTTATTTTTATTTATTTTATTTTTATTTTTTATTTTTTATTATTCATATGTGCATACAATGCTTGGGTCATTTCTCCCCCCTGCCCCCACCCCCTCCCTTACCACCCATCCCTCCCCCTCCCCCCACCCCAACCCCTTGATACCAGGCAGAAACTATTTTGCCCTTATCTCTAATTTTGTTGAAGAGAGAGTATAAGCCATAATAGGAAGGCACAAGGGTTTTTGCTAGTTGAGATAAGGATAGCCATACAGGGAGTTGACTCACATTAATTTCCTGTACATGTGTGTTACCTTCTAGGTTAATTCTTCTTGATCTAACCTTTTCTCTAGTTCCTGGTCCCCTTCTCCTATTGGCCTCAGTTGCTTTTAAGGTATCTGCTTTAGTTTCTCTGCATTGAGGGCAACAAATGCTAGCTAATTTTTTAGGTGTCTTACCTATCCTCATATCTCCCTTGTGCGTCACACATTTTAAAACAATATTCCAATAACATGTCCACAGGCTTTAGTTTGCCTAAGGACTCCCAGATATAAAATAGGTTAAGGACCTCTGCCCAAGACTCTCAACCAAATGTGACAGCTTTAATACCAGCAGAACAATAAACCAACAAACATTTCCTTGAGTTGTGCCACAACTCACTAGGCTCCCCCAAGTGAACAGAATGTTTCCCATCACCTGAGGAAGACAATAGTTTTAAATAAAGCCAATGATACAGACTGAATTATTCAATTGTAAATTTCCAAACTGCAAATTTACCGCATAGCCCAGAAGGCCTTGGGGTGGAGCCACTCACCTTCAGTAGAATGCACATGGGAGCTGCCAATCTGATCCACCAGCAGCATGAAAACGAAGCCTAGTACAAGAGACACGCCAATGTAGGCATGCAGCTGCATGTGATCATGGCTGTGCTCATGTTCATGGACCACTGATATTTCTGCTTTGTCTGATGCAATCACATTCTGTGTTTCACTGGCTTGGTGGTGTTTTCCTAGAGCAAAAAAAAACCACAAGGTTTTTCCTCTAAAAACATTTTATGCAGAAGCTTTCATTCTCTTGTATTTTAAGCTCTACTTACTTTACTGTACAGACATCCAATCTCTATATTGTAATCCAGCCAATCATAAACTCCTTCAACTTAAAATTCATGATGAAAAAATTCCCAAGTGTCTTCTGCTTTTGGCATGCAGACCTTCTGACTGCCTATCATTCTCAAAACCTGGGAAGTGGAAGGAAATCACCATGCAAGAATGCAGTCATACTCCCAAAGGGACACGATCCCCAAATCTCCCTTTTTGTCTGAGAAAAATCATGCCAATCTCCTGAGTCTACATCATTCTATTCTGATGAAAACAGACAAATGAATAGTAATGATGAAAATAACTATAATCAAATTCACCTAGTTTTACAACTTGGTTAATACGAAAATTGCAAATAAATAACAAATTGAATATAAAACTTTTAGTTTCAAAAACATCAGTGGGTAATCACTAGCAAGAAATGCAAAGGACAGCGCAGGTTTAAGAGGCATATCCTTTACACTAAATTCAGTCCTTGAAATATTAAATGTGTTGGGAACCTTAATTATAATAATTGACACCTGGCCAACTGATACTCCTAATTTATATTCACATATTTGATACCTTAAACACAAATGCTTCAAGGCCCAAGTCCTTACCTTTGCAATAATTCATGAATAGAAGCTAAAATACTAGGCATTTTCTATTTCTAACTAAATTAAGCAGATTAATAACCTTTAGATTAAAAAAACTACACAAGTCTGCTATAGTATGTTAGACCCTATCTTACATTTAAAGGTCATTTCTGAGGAACACAAAGCAAATATCATCTGAAGATAATAAAAAGCCTGTATGTTTCCTACTTCCTGAAAGACTTTTTGTTTTCATAACTCTTTTTTTTAAACTTTTCTTAATGTGGTTAAAATATAAAACAAAACTTATCACAGTAACCATTCTTAAGTATGTAGCTCAGTAGCATTAAGCACATTCACATTGCTCTCTAATCACCACCACCTTCGATCTCTAGAACTTTTTCATTTTCCCTAAGGAATTGTTAAATCACATTTTGTTTCCAACAAGTGATTTCACTAACTTGTTTTTAAACTAAACGTCTAAATCTTTCTTTAAAAAAACAAACTTTACTGAGGTGTAATTTACATACAATAAAACACAATGAATTTCTGCAAATGTAAAAACTCCCTTTTACTACCACCACAGTGAAGATAATAGAACATTTAAATTATCTCCAAAAGTTCTATTGTGTTCCTCTGAAGTCAATATCATTCTTGGCTGCAGGGAAGCACTGATCTGCTTTTGTCCCCAGAGAGTTTCCCCTGTTGTAGGATTTCATATAAATGGAACCATGCATACACATGTATGTTATTTCTAATTCTGACCTATTATAAATAAAGCTGCTATGAACTTTCAGGCACAAGTTTTCCTGTGGACACACTTTCTTTTCTCTTGGGTAAGTACCTCAGAACAGAACTCATGATCTCTGTGTGTATATGCTTAACTTTATAAAAAACTGTCAACCTGTTTTCCAAAGTGGTTGTATCATTTAACAAACCTAACAGTAATGTATGAGAGTTCTAGTTGCTCCTACCATTATCAAGAGTTGACACTGTCAAGCTTTTAAATTTTAACCATTTTACATACATGATCATGACATCGGCATCCAATTGTGATGTCTTCTATTTCTTTTTCTGGCCTTAGTGCATGTTGGAACCTGGCCAGGATCTCAACAGAAGTGGTTGAGAAGACACAACCTTACTTTGGTTCCAATATTATCTACAGGTATTTCAAATACGCCTTTTCTCAGACTTAGAAAGTTTTTTCTTTCCTAGTTTGCTAAGACTTTTTTTTTTTTAATATTTGGAAGTTTAATTTTGTCAAATGCTTTCCTTGCACCTGGTAAGAATAATCAAATGGTTTCTTTACTTGATTTAATTTAGTAAATTAAATTGTCTTTCACATAGTAATCCACCATTTTTTGGGATAAATCCCACATTCTTGGGATAAATTCTATCTGGGTCAAGTATATTATTCATTTTATATATTGCTGAACTCAATTTGGTAATATTTGGTAAAGGACTGTTGTATCTACATTTGTAAGAGACACCTTTGTGTTGACCTTGTTTTTGGTAATGTCTCTAAGTTATACTGACATCTTAAAATGAGATGGATTACACTTTCAACAGATAAAAAGAAAAACCTCCTCTGGCCAACAAATTTCCATTTCATTAATTCAAACAAGGTCTATGAATATCAGCTAATGAAACCTTAATGTTTAGTTGTTCTTGAAATTTCTGAAATGAGACTTATAACAATGCTTTTAAAAATTTTAAGACTATGACTCAGTAGGAAGTTTTGTATCACGGTTCAGTATACATAAATAAATGAAAATTAAAATCAAAAGATTCTCAAAATAATACTTAATCTTACAGTGCTGACTATGTACCATTAATTTTATCTCTTCCTCTAAGTCTCTGTCCCTCTCTGGGTTTCTTTTTAAATGCCAGTTGTAAGTTCAGCTTCTAAGCTGAGTATTTTCTAGAGACAAGACAATTTTGGGTATGTGTCCATTTTAATATTCAGAACTTTGATTTAATTCTTTTTATTTATGGATGTTAAGAAGCTACTCATGTTGCTGGTGGAGCAGCTCAAGTGGCAGAGTGCCTGCCTAGCAAGCATGAGGCCCTGAGTCCAAATCCCAGTACCACTAAAAACAAACAAAAGAAGCCACTCATGTGAGATAAATCCCAGAATTCTCACGACTTACAATGTGAATACTATTTAGAAAGATGACATTGGAGAGGATTTGAATGACACCTTCATAAGGTGTCATAAGGATAAGGCCAACTCAGCCTCTATCTACATTTTATGAGTGAATGGACCCTAGGGCCTTCTGTGCTACTTCTCCTGGACAATACCCTGTCCCTCAAGACTCAGCTCACCAGCCCTCTCTCCTTGAGATTCTCTGGGTCCTGCTGTCCTCATTGTAGATGTGTCTCCTTCATAGGTCTTATATCTCACCATACTGGAATTCGGAGATTAGCAAACTTCAGTACACAGGCTGATGCCTGTATTTGTAAATCACATTGTATTGGAACAGAGACAGCTCATTTGTTCATGAACTATCTATGGCTGCTCTCATGCTACAATGGCAGGGTTGAGTATCTGCAACCAAAGCCATATGGCCCACAAAGCCTAATATTTACTATCTGATATTCCAAAGAGAGAAAGAGTGTAAGAGCACAGGGGATCATCAAAGAGGTGACAGGATAGTTTCAAAGCATGAAGAAATAGAAAAGTGACAGTGAAAAGTAGTAAATAGTCTGTAGCTCCAACCCCAGCTTCCCAGGGAAACCAGAGCCACAACCACAAACTAAGCCAGGCAGCCCTGGTGACAGACTGGCAGACCTAGCCAAAGGATAAGCCCACACTTCCTGCAAACCTTAACCCAACCAAGGATCTGGTGTGACAGTGACTTCTCTTATATGGTAAGCTAGCATTAGACACTCCTAGAGTTGGACACTTGCTTCCTCTAAGGGTACAAACTAGGAGGCCTGTAGACTACGTGGGAATTGATCCCACAGTCCTGGTCCTAACAGTCATGCTACACAAAGAAGGGAGCTTCTGAAGTGAAAGTACCCCTGAAGCAGACAACCTTTGTTTGGCAGGCCCCACACTTGGCCCACATACAGGACCAATGCGTACTAGAAACCCCAGGATGCTCCAGCTGTAGTTTTCTCCTCTCTGAGTGGTGATGAGGAAGGAGCCTTGTGCCCTGAACATGTGAGTAAATGCTTGGCGGCTAAGCGATGCCCCCAGTCCAATCATGAGAAACTGCACCTGGAACTTGCCTCTCCCTAATCACACATGAACACTGAGAATGCTTCAAATGAAAGACTACAGGTGATAAAAACCTCCCATTAACAACTTGCCTAAAGAAATCCCAAAATTAAAACAAAGGAAATATGAAAAACCAAGGCAACGTGACTCCTCCAAAATTCAACAATTCCACAATAATGAACTGATAGTGAAGTGGATGAAATCTCAGAGTAAGACTTCAAAAGAATAATTATAAGAATAATCAATAAATTTAAAGAGGACACAACAAACAACTGAATGAATTCAAAGAGAAAACAAGCAGATGAATGAAAATAATGTAAGCTATGAAAGAATTCAATAAAGATACAGAAATTCTGGAAAAAACCAAATTGAAATTCTAGAAATGAAAAGCTCAATATATCAAATGAAAAAAAAAAACTGAGTTGAAAACCTAGCCAAGAAACTGGATCAAGACAAAGACAGAGTATCAAGGTAGATGCATTAGAACACATGGACAATGATAATGAAAAAAGAAAACAAAAGCACAAATAGAAGACCTCTGGGACACTATTAAAAGACTAAACTTACAGAAGAAGAGGTGCAAGCTAAAGGAATAAAAAACATATTCAATAAAATAATAGCAGAAAATTTCCCAAATCTTGTGAAAGAGATGGTCATCCAGTTTATAGGAGACTTTGAGAACATTAGACAGACATCAGGAGAGAACCTCTCCACATCATATTTTAATTAAAACATTAAGTACACAGAATAAGAAAACATTGAAAGTTACAAGAGAGAAGCACCATGATACATATAAAGGCAAACTTGTCAAAATAACAGATTTCTCAACAGAAACTCTAGAAGCAAAGAGGTCATGGAATGATGTATTTTAAGCCCTGAAAGAATATAACTGCCAACCTAGCAAAGCTATCCTTTATAAAAACTGAAGGAAAATTAAAACCTTCCATGATAAACAAAAACTAAAGGATTTCAAGACTACCAAGCCAGCACTGTAGGAGATAGTTCAAGGAATCCTGCATACAGAAGAGGAAGAGAAACACAATAGTGAAAATGTGGGAAAGAATAAATCTCACTAGATAAGCAAATGAGCATTAGGAAAGAATCAAACATTATACAA